GAGGAAGCCCCAAGTCAATATCCAAGGGAGGATAGACGACGCCCAACCTTGAAGGAGTTAGAGGCAAAGGTCTACCCATTTCCAGATTCAGATGTACCTATGATTCTTGATGAATTGCTAGCTAAGAAAGTTATTGATCTTCCTGAATCAAAGAGGCCTGAAGAAATCAATAAGGTTGGTGATCCTAGATACTGCAAGTTCCATCGTGTCCTTGGCCACCCGACAAGTAAATGCTTTATCTTGAAGGAGAAAATCATGATGTTAGTAAGTGAAGGAAAAATCATCATTGACCAGGATGAAACAACGGAAGTAAATCATGCTAGTGTAGGACTAAATCAAAAGAAGTTCTCAAGGTCCACTTTCTTGCAATTTGGAAGTTTAACGCCTATTGAAGTTGATTTTCCAAGGAAAACTCTTGAGGGTTCACTAGAGATAGACGGTACAAAGAAAATGAAGCTGATGGTTGGACTTTGGTTACTCATAAGAAGCGGAGACATCAAGCAGTCTTTAGGATACGACTTCCTAAGACAAGAGCAACAAGGAGTGATGTGAATCAACTACACCCATCAAAAAGCGTCAAGCCTTGTACTAGCCAAAAGATCAATGGTTCTTCATCGCAGAAGGTTCGAAGGCCCATTGCATTGTATGAATTCTTTCCTGAAAAATTCTTTTGTGGTAGTCAAATTGGTGCAACACATGTTATTTCCAGCACAGACGAAACAATGGGAAACAAAGGTGAGCATAATCCAACAATAACACAAGAACATCAAACTGATGAAAAAGTTACCCCATGTTGTGCTACAATCGCCTTCACAGATGATGACTTGTTGTTAGGGTCTAAGCTACATAATAGGCTCTTGCTTGTTGTAGGGTCTATTCGAGAACAACATCTCAATCGCATACTAATCGATGGTGGTTCGGCAGTCAATATCATGCCAAAAGTTGTTCTGAAAAAACTTGGGATCTCTATTGATGAATTGTCCAAAAGTAACCTAACGATCCAAGGTTTCAATCAAGGAGGACAACGATCCATAGGGAAGATTCGTGTAGGATTGTCCATTGGCGACGTGAAATCAAACACTTTGATTCATGTCATAGATGCCAAAACATCATACAACTTGTTGCTCGGACGTCCTTGGGTTCATGAAAATGGAGTGGTGCCATCTACTTTGCATCAATGCATGAAGTATATGAAAGATGGTGAAGTAGTCAAAATTGATGCAGACATCAATCCTTTCGCTGAGACGGAGTCATATTTTGCAGATGCAAAATTCTATTTAGATTCTGGAAGATCATATATGGAGAAACATGTAGAAGCCGACTCGATTGATCCCGAAGATAGTAAAGTTCAATGGGCCGCTATCAATATGTCTAAGAAGAGAACGGAAGAGGTTTCCATTAAGCTTTCACCATCTAAAGGAGACATGGAGACCAATATTGATGATGAGCAACCAATGTTTCGCTATATTCCACGTGAACGTCGAAAAAAGGGACAACCACTGCTAGAGGAATATACTCAACAAGTTCACCCACCTAGGAAAGAATTGAGTCACACAACATTCCATGATTTGAAGGAGAAAATGACTATCCAGTTGCACAAGTCCCGTCTTTCACTTTGGAGCCTTCCAAAGGAAATACCCAAGTTGGTCAGATAAAAGGGAACTTTGATCAAAAGGTTTTCACATTATTTGAAAAATCAGGTTACAACTTCTCAAATGCAGCAAAGTTAGGAGAACTCACATAGGAAGTCACCGGTGAAAAGATACATGGGCATACAAAGTCTCAAATGCGATTGAGAAAACAAGGATATTATGTCGCCACTCCTAAGTTTGGGTTAGGATTCAGCTTGCCAGAGCCTCTTCGGATTTCATCTAAGAGGGGCAAAAGAAATAACTTCATCTCACTACACCTCTATAGAGAAGACGAAGGAATCTAAGGAGGGTAAAACACCACAACGGACTTCGATTTTTGAACGCATTGGAAGATTGACACCCCGTGTCTCTGTATTTGAAAGATTAGGCCGCAATGATAAAAGAGGATCCTCTAAACAAGTGGACGAATATGCCACCACCTCAAAGACTTCTATATTTCATCGCTTGGGAACCAAAAGAAAGTCATTATTCGAAAGAAGGTTGCTGGAGCATGAAAATCAAGATTCTTGTGTGTAACTGATGACAAAGAGATTCATAGTGTTTTCCCATCATGTATGAAGAGAAAGACTGTATTGTCAATCACCACCGATGGTTCTTTGAAGGTGAAAAGAAGCATAATTTTTTGTCACCAACCAATTTCATGGAGAAACTAATAAGAAGGAAGATGAAACCATCACAATGGGAAGTCAGATGGAAGATTCGAACTTGACATAATCATCCTATCACATAACATTGGAAGAAGGTCCAGACATTGATGATACAGATGATGATGTCCAAGAGGCTCCCCCTCAACTGGAGGATGGCGTACAATCAACCATAGACGACCTCAAGGAACTAAATCTAGGCACTCTAGAAGATCCGCGTCCAATCTTTATTAGTGCACTTCTTACACTAGAAGAAGAGAAGAAATACTTCAAGTTATTGGTTGAGTTCAAAGACGTTTTTGCTTGGTCGTATAGAGAAATGTCGGGCCTTAGTCCCAGGATAACTATTCATTATTTGGGGATAAAAAAGGGAACACGTCCTATAAAGCAGTCACAATGAGTGTTTCGTCCGGAGTTGGTAACACAAATTGAAGCGGAGGTCAACAAGCTCATCGAAGCTGGATTTATTCGAGAAGTGAAGTACCCGTTGTGGATCTCAATTATTGTGCCTGTTAAGAATAAGAATGGTCAAATACGTGTCTGCGTTAATTTTCGAGATTTGAACAAGACATGTCCAAAAGATGACTTCCCTCTGCCAATCATTGAGCTCATGGTTGATGCTACAACTGGGCATGAAGTTAGGTCATTTCTGGATGGATCTTCTGGATATAATCAAATCAAAATGTCTCCAAAAGATGAAGAATACACTGCCTTCCGAACTCCAAAAGGAATTTATTGTTACAAAGTGATGCCCTTTGGTCTAAAGAATGCTGGGGCCTCCTATCAACGTGCAATGCAAAACATATTTGATGACATGCTTCATAAGAAGGTGGAATGTTACGTTGATGAGTTGGTGGTAAAGACGAAGCAAAGGGAACACCATCTTGAATACCTTCGAATTATTTTTGAAAGGTTAAGGAAATTTGACTTGAAGATGAATCCACTCAAATGTGCATTTGGGGTTACGTCAGGAAAGTTTCTTGGCTTCATTGTGCGTCACCGTGGAATTGAAGTTGATCCCGCAAAGATTGATACCATTCAAAAAATGCCTAAGCCAAAGAACTTGAGAGACCTCCGCAGTTTACAAGGAAATTTGGCATTCATTCGGAGATTCATTTCTAACCTGGCTGGACGATGTCAACCTTTCACCATTTAATAAAGAAAGATGCTCATTTCCACTGGGACCAATCATGTCGAAATGCCTTTGAAAGCATCAAGAGATACTTGATGAATTCGCCTGTATTAGGGGCACCAACTCTTGGAAAGCCATTGATACTGTACATTGCATCGCAAGAGCGATCACTTGGGGCACTTCTTGCTCAAGAGAATGAAGCTAGGAAGGAACAAGCATTGTACTATCTAAGTCGGACCTTGATAGGAGCTGATTGAATTATACGCCCATTGAGAAGATGTGCTTAGCATCGCTTTATGCGATAAGAAAATTGAGGCATTATTTTGAAGCGTACACTATCAAGCTAATTTCTTGGGCTGATCCCGTGAAGTTCGTAATGACTCGACCAGTTCTCTCAGGACGTTTAGCAAGATGGTCTATATTGTTTAATCAATATGAGATCATTTACACACCTTAAAATGATGTGAAGGGGCAAGCACTTGCTAATTTCCTTGCTGACCACCCTCTTCCGGGAAAATAGGAAAGTTCAGATGAGTTCCCTGATAAAGATGCATTCTTTACTGAAGAGTTGCCAGCATGGACAATGTTCTTTGATGGATCCGCACGTCGAGATGGTGCAAGGGCGGGAGTTGTGTTGATATCTCCAGAACGACAAATCTTACCATTTTCATTTGTTCTAGGTGAAACATGTTCCAACAACGCCGCAGAGTACCAAGCTTTGATTGTGGGCCTTGAAATGGCATCAGATATGAAGATTCCTCAATTGGATGTCTACGGTGACTCTCAATTGATCATCAATCAACTCTAGGGGAGTTACGAGGTAAAGAAGGAAGATCTTTTGTCATATCACCAATATGCTACTTTCTTACTTGAAAGGTTTGATCAAGTGTTCTTAAATCACGTCCCAAGAGAAGAAAATCGCATGGCAGATGCTTTGGCTAACTTGGCTACAACAATGGCACTCGGAGAAAATGAGACAACAAAGGTGCGTGTATGTCATCGATGGGTTAATCCTGGTTGTCTTGATCTTTAAATCGATGAAAGCCATCATATATCTGTTCGAGTGGTTGAAGAAGAAGATTGGAGAAAACCACTGGTTGAGTATCTTGAACATGGAAGACTGCTTGAGGATCCACGAGTAAGAGCAGACATTAGGAGAAAAGCACCATGATTCATCTTTCATGAGGGGATACTGTTTCGTCGTTCTTATGAGGGACTATTCTTGCGATGTCTTGACAAATAAGAAGCTCAACAAACAATGGAGGAGGCACATTCTAGCACATGTGAAGCACACCAATCAGGGGCTAAACTTCATTTTCGCATCAAGAGGATGGACTACTATTGGCCAACAATGGTGATGGACTGCTTAGAGCATGCCAAAAAGTGTCAAGCGTGTCAATTCCATGCTAATTACATCAATCAATCTCCAGAGGCTCTGCATCCGACTGTAGCCTCATGGCCCTTCGATGTTTGGGGACTTGATGTTGTTAGACATCTTCTAAAGTCATCAAAAGGACAAATGTATATCTTGGCTGCCACTGACTATTTCTCTAGATGGGCTGAAGTTGTACCATTAAAAGAGGTAAAGAAGGAAAATGTTGTTGATTTTATCAAATCAAACATAATTTTTAGATATGGCATACCAAGATGTATAGTTACTGATAATGGAACACCCTTCAACAATAAACTCATGAGTAGTTTGTGCGAGAAGTTCATTTTTAAGCAACATAAGTCTTCAATGTACAATGCACCTGCCAATGGTCTTGCTGAAGGTTTTAACAAGACACTTGGTAACCTATTGAAGAAAGTAGTTGCAAAGAATAAAAGGGACTGGCATGAGAGAATTGGCGAAGCTTTGTGGGCATATCGTACAACCTTTAGAACACCTACACAAGCGATTCCATTTTCATTGGTGTATGGCGTAGAAGCAGTCCTTCCATTGGAGAAGCAAATTCCATCATTGCGAATAGCAATCCAAGAGGGACTTACAATTGAAAGTAACGCTCAACTTCGTCTAGCAGAGTTGAAGGCATTGGATGAAAAGAGATTGGAAGCACAACAAAGGTTGGAGTGTTATCAAGCTCGACTTGCAAGAGCATTCAACAAGAAGGTGCGACCTCGATCATTTCAAGTGGGAGACTTGGTCTTAGCAGTCCGGAGACTCATAATCCTCAACAAACGCATCGGTGACAAATTTACATCGAAATGGGATGGGCCGTATGTTGTGAAGGAAGAATATTCAAGTGGTGCTTATAAAATTGTAGACCAAGATGGTGTAAGAGTTGGTCCAATCAATGCCAAGTTTCTGAAGCAATACTTCCCTTGAAGGTTGGCTACGCTCCTTAAGGTATGAGCATAAACTGCATGTTACTCCTGGCCCGCAAGAGTATAAACTGTGTACGGCCCAAAAAAACTACATCATCTTGAACTACGATATGACTTGATCCTCTTCACCGAGGTACGTAGGCACTTGGAGTAATCACTCTAAGCTCAGTCAAATGAGTAAAAAAAAAGAGTTTGGTGGCCTTGCGTGATCATCACACTAGCTCTTTAAATTTTATGTAGCTAGCACATGAGTTCAAAAGCGTCACAAATGAGTAAAGGAGAAGATTTTTGGAGCCTACTTCCCAACGTGAAAATCGGCTCGTGATTCAGACATTTCTTCGCTAACTTGTGAATTTTCTACCACGGCCATTCAAAGCTGGAAAAAAATAATAAATAATCATCATATTTTGGAGTTGATCTGAGCATTTCAAAGGCCTATTAGTGGGAATTCATAAAGATCTTGATCATCATTGTTACACACATTGAAGTTCTTGAATCCCTCTCCGCAACAAAAGAAGAAGCTCGTAATATTGAAACTCCTACATCGAGTCATGGATCTTCAATTGTGATCGTTCAAAGTTGCATATCAAACATGCTAAATTTGGAAGACAACTTCGGGTATTAATCTGATCAATTCAAAGGAATTTCATTTGAATCATTGATATGCGACAGGCCGAGGAATTCATTGGATCAAGCGACTTGCGATTCTACTTGAGTTTTCGCTTACGGTGGAGATAATTTTGTGTAATTCACTGATGCTTCAGTAAGTTACTCAAAATTAGGGGCATCTTTACCTATAACATCAAATCGGGATACCCTTCGGATCAAAGCTCTATGTTGAAATGGTATAGCCACAAAGATCATGATGTGAACACTCCAAGTTCAAGATACAATCTTTTGTTGTTGTCAAGAGAGCACAAAGTTGAGAAAATGACATTTTGGGCGTATAGTCAACTTGAAAAATTTATTCTCATCAATTTGGAATGAATTTTGTTGTAACTTCTATAAATAGTGTTTTGCTTGATGCGCTCGTCACAATGAAATAAGAAGCTCATGGTTTCACCACTCTTACAACGAATTTTGGACTTTACACCGAAGATGCGCTCCTCAAAATGAAATAAGAATCACATACTTTCAGAATGCAAGCTGACTTTGAAAATATATCTGTGCTATTCTGGAAATCTTTTGTCTGTGATTTTTACATATGTTGTACGTCTATGAGTTATGCTTCCAACAGAATAAGAATCGTATCATTTCAAGGCTCCTACGCCGAGTTATTGATTTTCTCCCAAAGTCGCTCAAAGCTGAAGAGTTGAGCGAGGCAGAATTTAAGCTGACTTTAAAAATACATCTGTACTAATCTGGAGATCATTTAGCCATGATTTTTACATATGTTGTATTTCTATGAGTTATGCTTCCAAAGAAATAACAATCATGTTATTTCGATGCTCCCACATCGAGTTATTGGTTTCCTACTGCAGGTGCTCAAAGCTGAAAAGTCGGTCAAGGCAGCATTCGAGCTAACTTTTGAATAATAGCCGCACTAACCTGGAAATCTTTCGGTCATGAGATTCACATATATTGTATGGGTGTGGGTTATCTTTCCAATGATATGACACACTCGCTATTTGAATGTTCCTACTACGAGTTATTGAATTTCAAACAAAAGAGCTCAAAGCTGAAATCTTGGGGAAAGTTATCCGGCATATAGAGCAAGTTACAAATCACACGACAAGCATTTGAAATAGAGAAATAAAAGAAGGCATTTGAGAAGAAAAAAGACAACACTTTTATTCATTCAAGAAGGAATTGTCAACTACATCATAGCAATGTTCCAGAAACAAACAAGAAAAAGAAACACAATAGAACAAGAAAATGAAAGAGAATGTCCTTATGCGGGAAGAAGACTAAGGAAAAAACTCATTACAAAGGATTTGGTGGCGACTTGTCTCAGCCTCCTCCTTTAGCTTAGCTAGTTCTTTAATTTCTATTTCCGACAAGGGAATGATTTTCTCGATGGCATGAATTTAAGGGAATGATTTCTCGATGGCATGAATTCCATCTTCACGGTTAGTGATAGTCTCTTGATATTTAGACAGCCTCTTTTGATGATCTTCAATAAGTGAGATGGTTTTCTTCTTCTTTGAAGTCCACACTTTTAGCTCTTTTTCAGCTCTTGTAAGGACCTTTTGAAGTTCTTCCAACTATTTGTCCATATTGATTCTCTCCTCATTTGCGGTATCAAGACATTGTTATGCAGCAGAAAGCAACTCTTGATGAGAATCCCTTGTTATCTTTTGAAAAAATCATCAAGAAGAACCTCTAAAGGAGAAAGGTTGATGATGTTAACTTCTCGAAGCTCTTTAAGAATCAAGGCAACACCTGCCTCCAACTCTTTGTTTAACTTCTCGAAGCCCTTTAAGAATCAAGGCAACACTTGCCTCCAACTCTGTGAGGTTCTCTGGAGATTCAACAGAGAATTGAGTAATACACTCACATAAGATACGCCACATTCCAGAAAAGTAAGATAATTTGAAGCTGGAAATAGTCTTTTGTGGTTCAAAATTAGAGGCAATTCTCAGCAGAGGACGGACCAAATCCCTGGAAACAACTGAACATCCAATTTGAGAAGTTTCAACAACCCCCACATTAGTAGTTGAGATATTTTGAGAAATTTCAACCTTTTCAGAAAAAGGGACCATCGACTTTGTTAGTTGAATCTCATTTGCAGCTTGACTCTTAACTTCAACAAGAGGGAGATGAGAACTCTTCACCACGTTGAGGGAGTTCGAGCTTGTGATACAATCTTCAAATACATCTACATCGCTAGGGATGTCCCCAAGACCCAACTGGATAATTAAAAAAATAGAATTAATATCTGATGATTAAAAAAAAAAGGGAGGCAAGCTTAGAGAAATATTCAAGAGGTGACTTTTACCTGATGTGCCAAGAAAAAAAGGGGAGGCAAGTTTAGAGAAATATTCTAGAGGTGACTTTTACCTGATGCGCCAATTCTGTCAAGGGCATTGTAGAACCAGCAGCACCATCTTCAAAGATCGCAGTATCAATACTAATGGAATCTAATTCAGTGAACTCGCATTGTTAAGTGTTCAAGTCCTTAGGCTTTTTCTTCAAACGCTTCTAATGTAGCTCTTGGTTAACATTGCTCTCATTGGAGCTAGAGGCTGCACTAGCACTAATGTCAATCTCATGGAGTGAAATAGATGTTTTTGAAGTGTTGCTACAAGATGGTGCAATGCCAAGTGACTTTACAACACCTTTGTCTGATGAGCTAGAAGGTTTCTTCCTTTTGAGAGTTACGTCGATCACCTCTTTATCAGTGATGTTGGCAGCCTTGGGAGTCTGTAAAGGACCCTTAACTCCGTTATCCACATGTGTAGCCTTTCCCTTTGAACTTTTGGACTTGGAAACAATGCTGACAGATTGCGGAGGGATATTTGGTGTCACCTTGGATACATGTGT